GGTTTTAGCCACTAAACTTTCTGAGCCTGTTCCCCTATGGGAGAAGTGGGAATAATACTATCTATCTTACCTAGTTATCCTGAGGATTTGATAAAAACGAAGCATCTGAACACCGCCTAAAGCAGAAAAGGCTGTTAACAAAGGTTCATTCTTAATTCCTAAGTCCTGAGGCACAAAACTTTCCCCTTCTTCTTTCCTATCTCCAGCTATCCTCAATTTCCTTCACTTTTATTTATTTCACTTTTGTGGGTCATAATGTTAAAAATAAGTGCATAGGGATCTGAGGGTAAGGTAATAGCTTTGGATCCTTCCAGGTGGGTTGAAGGAATGGGTGTCACAGTGGGGAAGGGGTTGTCATGGTGGAAAGCAGAGGTATTCAGGCTTCTTCAAAACACAGGAGTGATTCCCATCCTTTGTGCAGTGAGAACTGTGACTGTCCCTGGGACAGTGTACCTGGGACCTCTGACCAGAGGCTGCCCTCATCACTAGATCTAATGGGCTTCCAGTGGTCCAGTGGAGGGAGAGACCCCACCCAACTCAGGGACTAAAATAGTAATATAAGGAGTCTGTGGTCCTGGCAGGACAATTGGTGCCTCTTGCACATTTAGCCTACCACTTGTGTTAAGTGTTACAGGCTTGCCTCTTAAAATACTGAACTTCTTATTCTACAGCAATAGACACCCTCCCCAATCCATTTTGGGAATTTGAGGGAAGCCCAGATGATAGTAGAAAAGGAAAGTAGTTCTCTCACTGGCAGTCAGGGCTATTCTTGGTCCCTCTTAAAGTGCCTGGTGGTTTTTTCCTCCCCTATTCAATCTTTGCTTAACAATCTACATTAATATTTCAGAAACCTTAGGTGGCCTGTGCATTGATGACACTTTATTCCCTAGGCTAGAAAAACTCTTTCCTTGGAATTGGATTGCTTTATGCAGTTTAACAACCTGTGTTAGGCTAAGAGTCAAGCATATTGCCCCTGTAATTATCTTGTCATAGCCACAAGACAATAGATAAGGGTATGTCTGCTCTGCAAAGCCAATTCAACTGTGACATTAAACAGATGTCATGATCGAAATGAAACACAAATATTGGGCTACCAACTCATCCTATTCATAACCAGACAATCAGCAAATCCCTAACCTCACCACCCACTAAATTATACTGACAGATTATTATTTAAGTAGAAAATGCAAAATTAAAAAGTTATAAAACATTCCCTGAAAACACACCACCTCCAAATTTGCAGTGAGCTAAGTTCAGTCAAGTATCTGCGCATACCTGAAACCCAAGAACATTTCATGTTTATGGCTAATTCTTTAGTAGTAGTTTTAGAGAACATTTAATAAGAAAACACTATCTCAAAGTTAGGCTTTGAGGCAAAGTCTTATTAAGAAGTACAAGAAGCATGATTCTCTTTTGTTGCTAAAGAAAGTACTTTTAAGAAGAATTTCTCAAAGTCTCTAAGAAGCTGCACGCTGACTGGCAAAGGCCCACCTCCCTTCTGCCCACGCCCCGGGACATTCACAAACTTCCTTAGGGTCTCTGGAAAATTCAGGTGACCTTACAGGGGATATGTAACATATGAATAATAGAAATGTAACCAAGTGCGGGAGCGGGAGGGGTACTTGACAGAAGGCCATCTGAGGGTGCAAACATGGGACTTGGCCAAAGAGGAACTATTAGGGGATGAACTGTATTTGGCTTTTTTAATTCAGAAAAGGTACCCTGCAGTCTTGCTTAGATAAACACAAACCAATGAGCAGCGGCCTCGCCTTTGCTACTTTATTTCAACCCATTCACTGCCATAAAGACCCGGGTGCACGAGTCCCCGCGCTCTGGCTTTCTGGATTGGGACGACTACTTCCCAGAAAGTCACTCCCCAGCTCTTTCCACCCGTGTCCTCTTTCTTTACCGAATAAGTGTGAAACCCGCCGGCCAGCCGCCCCAGCTCAGTCCCGCAGGTGACTCCACAGAGCCAAACTTTGTACCTTCTGGGAATGGAGGGAAGATCCCGGCAACCACCGCACACTTGAAGGTGAGCCCGCCCGGTGGGAGGAGCGGCGGGTGGAGCGCGCGCCAGACGGTCGCCGCTGTGCGGTGCCGCCCGCTGCACCCCAGGCACCGGAGTAGCGGAAAAGCCAAATGGGGCTCGCTGGCCTCAGCCTGCGCACAGTGACATGGATGCAGATGCCCTTCTTCTCTCAGGGGCAGCAGACCTATCCCACAGGCCCCGTAGTAAAACCGCTCACAACTGGTTCCAGCTGCGGGGAGGTGGGGGAAGCAGTGGGAGGGTCTGGATCTAGGACCTTAGTCTCTGTTCCGGTGCCAACTCTACCTCCACCGAAATGAGTGGCCAGGAACTGAAAAGGCTACACGCCCCCCAAGAGCGGGATTACCTTTGCCACTTAAAGCACGCTTCCTCCAATCAGCTCGTCTTGATCCAATGCCTGTTCTGTGCCCTCCTCTCTCGTAGGAGCTTGGGATGCCTTCTCCAATAGAACGGTAAAACATTGCTCCTCTTGCCCAGCTTGCTTTTTAAAGCGCTTCTCTGGACTCTGGTAGTCACATAGGTTTCTATGAACATTTGTTAGTGTTTTCAGCTGGGCAGGTAAGATATAAAAATTCGACCTTTTTAATGTCAACAAATATTTACTGATGTCCCAAAGGTTAAAAGGAAGGGAGGGAGGGAAGAATAAACCTATAATATCACCAAGGAACATGCTTTCTTTTTTAAAAAACTTTGCCTTAATCCGACTAAATCCCTTCAGTATCACCCAAACTATTAACCCAGCAAAATTGTTTGATAATGACCTTGAGCTTCATACTTGCACCTTGGTCAAATCTGCTGGCCTTAGTCACTGCTTAGCAAACAAGATGACACTGATGAAACTGGAGTTGGATCTTTTCTTTTCTTTCCTTCCTTTCTATTTTTGGTACCAGAAATTGAACCCAGGGTCATTTAACTACTGAACTGTGCACATCCCCACCCCCTTTTTTACTTCTTATTTTTAGACTTGTTCTCATTAAGTTGCTTAAGGCCTTGCTAAGTTTCTGAGGCTGGCTTTGAACTTGCCGTCCTCCTGCCTTAGCCTCCTGAGCCACTGGAATTACAGGCCTGTGTCACAGTGCCTGGCTGGATTACTTCTTATCCAAGGGGGTTCAGTGGGATTTTGAAGACAGCCCACTCAGCATCCCATCCCAATCTGTTAGGCATATGATCTTGGACATATTCTTTAGTGTGCCTAATCCTCAATTGCTTCTTTTGTAAAATAAGAGTTGTAAAAACTTACTATGGATGGTAGGAGGCTTTATGGACCCAAAATATGCAAAATTACTTTAGCTGGGTCTGGCATGCAGTAAGAGC